CTTTCCCATCCCTTTGCTTTCTTATTGTCAGGGATATTTATGACCCAGACGTCATCTCACTGTCTTCCAGCCCTGGGTTCCCAATCAGGGAGGCTGCAGACCACGTCTGGTGCTTTGCTTGGGCACACCAGAGCCATATCTCCAAATCCTGAGCTGGGGGAGCAGCCGGGCACACAGGCATGGAGACCCCTGGGGTGCTGCAGTGCAGATAACCCATGGCACACTGCGCCGCGAAGCATCTCCTGCTTCAGAGCTGCCCCTTCCCCTTTGAAAGTAGTTTGGAAAAAAAAAACAAAAAACGCCAACCTGAAACGGAGTTTCATTAAGCAGCACCAAAATTGGTCTGAGGCTCAGCATTGCCCAGGGGCAGGGAAGGGCAGGAGAACGGGAGCTGTGAAGCAGGTTTCAGGGTGATGCACAGCTCTTCCTCCAGGCAGAGCGGACGTCTGCTGGGATCAGCAGGTAACCAAGCCTCCAGGGACGGCTCGCAGAGCTGCAAATAGCACGCGGGGCACAAGGGAGCGGTGTCTGGGAGAGGCTGGGGCGGCTACAGCCACTGCCTGACACAGACATTAATAACGGTGGAGGCAGAGCCAAGCGCTGCACCAGCATCCGCCGCGCTGAGCTGCAGGCACACGTCAGGGCCGGAGCTGAAGGGAGATGCTGCTCTGGCTGGGATGCAACTGAGCCCACATCTGGTACGTTTTGCTTGCAACATCTGCAGCCCACAGGGTGTGCCCTCTTCTAGGCAGGTCTGTGCTGTGCTGTAGGCAGCACCAATGTCCTTTAAATCAAACGCGTCTGCTCTGCTCCCCTGGGCTGGGCTGGGCTGATCCTCGCTGTCTCCTGGGGTCCCATGACTCCATCTGGCTTTGGGCTGCACTGGGAGGGTTGGTAGTGAGGAGCATGGGGAACCAGGGGATGTTTGCAGCATTAGGGACTTTCTGAGATTCTCTTGCAGATCAGGGCTGTACCACCAGCTCCACATCGGCTGGCGGCAGCGTGGTGAGCCCACCATGCACACTTTCTGCTTCAGGGATTTTGGGAACCCTCTGTGTTCTGGTGCTGGGCAGGAGAGAACAAATTCAGCCCTTGCTACTGAAAGCAGATCTGGGTGTGTGCTTGTGGGGAGGGAGGGATGGGTTGGGGGCCAGGATGGCCAGGGCTGTTGGGCTCAGTGCTGCGTCGGTGGCAAACCTACATTAACCAAAGCATGTGGCACGGGGAGGTTTTGTCCCACGCTGTTTGCTGACACCTTCAGCCATCTGATCCCGAAACATGGAGTGCAAGAACTTCCCAGCTGGGCTCCATCCCACACACAACGACAGTGCTGGGCGATGCCTGGTCAGGTCCCATTTCCAGAGCCATCAATTGGTGATGGCAGTAATGGGATTAGCGCGGGCTGCTGCTGCCATGGGGTCATTTCCTCCCATGGAGCACAGCTCCTCCTTGCAGGGCTCCCAGGTGTTTCCAGCCCAGGTTTTTGGGCAGTGTGAGCACTCACACCCCCATGGGTCTCACTGGAGCCATCCATCCACCCTCGCTGCTTTGCCACAGCGTGGGTCCTGCTGCTTGGGATTATACATCCCTGCTTGCTTTTGCTGTTACAGTAATTGCTCTGTATCAATTATTCATCGGCGCAGTAATGAAGCAGGGGATGGGTAGAACACCCTACTGTGTGCAGGGCCTGGCGAAGGGACCCAGAGCAGTGCTGCAATTGGGGGATGCTCACGAGCACTTTCAAAATGAGCCATGAAAATTTTCTCGAGTTTCAGTAGTTCTGCTTTGAATTTCTGGCTTCCTTTTGTTTCTCTCAGCCCCGTGCTGTGTGTAGGCTGCTGCTTCCCACAGCTGTGTGTATTCCATCTGTAATGGTCGCTTATTGTGTTTTGTGGCGTTTATCATCAATGGTTTTGGAAGCATTATGGGGGGCATTACAGTTAAAAGTTTCTAATGGGATGGATCTGGGCACAGTTCATCCTGTGCTAAAAAACCCTGGAAGTGTGAGTTTTTTTTCTACCACTTTGGGAAGGACATATTTTGGAAACTTTGGTGTTTTGGTGTGTGATGGCTCACAGCAGGGGGGGCCCTAAGGCATGGGGTTGTAACTGGGTGACCCTTAAGGTCCCTTCCAACCCAAGCCATTGTGCTGTTCCATGGAGGTGCTTCACTCTCATTCCATCTGCTGCCCCAATGTTCTGCTGCACAGGGAACATGCTACGCCCTCCCCAGAATCCCCCTGGATGGGGACATGGACTCATTGCCATGGGGTTAAGCCCTGTTTAGGATGAGTGAGGTGGGGACACCTCTGAACAAGGGTAGGCTTCATGTGAGAACCAGTGACATAAGAGGAAGGCTTCATCCCACAGCTGTACTGTTGCCATGGCCGGTGTATTCCCAGCTGTGGGCCACCACAAAGGGCATGTTGTTTGCAGCAGTGCTGGAGCAGTTGAGACTGTGCTTAAAATACATTTGCTGGTTGAAATGTGCTCTGCTAGTAACAGAGCAGCAGCAACCAGAACAAAACCTCATCAAATTACAGACCAAAGAGCAGAGGTTTGCCATAATCCTCCCTCTTGGTTATGGGGAAACCTTTGTGGCAGTGAATGATGAGTTGCCCAAAGGCAGAGGGAGTCCAGGCAGTGGGTACAGATGTGGGGGTTGAAGATGCTGGAGTAGGCAGGGCAAAGTCTGGCATTTTTGAGGTGTGTTGAGGGACATTAGGGACTTTTGATCTAAGAGTGAGCATCATTGTTCCCTAAAACAATCCCAGAAAGCTGTGCTGGGGCTTGGAGACAGCTCTTTCCTCTATTTTCTGTTCCACTTCTTGGGACATGCAGCTTTGGCAATGTAGTCTGAACAGAAACTGAAGGAGTGATGTGTGAGGTCCTCTGGGAGGAGGCAGGAAAGCTCCTCAGCTCCTCTGCTCAGGACAGGGAGAGCCAGAAGTTGAGGATGAACGAGCCAGATGTTGACCCAGACCCTGATGTTGATAGACAGGTAATGAGATGTTGAGGGCAGTGAAGCCGAGCTGTTGAGCAGATATTGCAGGTGGGTGGATCAGATGTTGGCTGCTAGCTCCAAAGCCACTGACTCTGGCCAAGGGAGAGGAACCCTTACCGGGGAGATCTTGAGTTGTTTTGGTGGTGTCCTTGAGCTAGAAGGACATGTGTCCCCTCCACCTTCCTGCTGAGACAGCATCAGCACTGCCTCCATTTGCTGTCTCCTCCTGTAGCCCCTTGATCATGGTGGTGGTGAGAAGGAAACTTGGCCACAGCCTTGTCTCTCTCCCCCACATGGGCTTTGCCCAGCATGGTGGCCCTTGGCTTTGTGTTTATGAAGTCCCCAGTCTCTCCAGCCTTGGTTGGGCTCATTGACCGACAATGACTGTGCTCCTGCCCTGCTCCTTTCCTGTCTTCCCCACCACCAGGAGCTCAGCCGTGGCCCTTTTTGCAATGACAGCATTTCACAGCCCCAGCAGCACTTCCAACTCAAGATTGAAACCTTGCTCAGTGGTGAGCCGCCTCTCACATCTCCATGCTGCTGAAAAGCAGCAGATTCTCTGAATTAGTGCAGGAATTTAATTTCATCCTCAAATCTCTCTCATTTTAAAGGAGCCTGTTCATTTCCTTCTGGAGCCTTATCTGATGTGGGCACCCAGCAACGTTCAGCAGAAGGGAGCTGTCAGGGGTGGGGAGGGCTTTGCAGGGTTGGACTGAGGGCTGCATGGGTTTTTCCTCTAATTATTTCATGAAATAATGATGACAGTGATTGCAATACAAATAAGACATAAACAACATCAGTAGAACACTCAGTGCAAACAGCATCCTCACACAGCATGTCTGGAAACATTCCCTTTTGCAAGAAATCACTGTGGGGAGTGAAACAGCCTGAAGGATGGGGTGAACCCAGCGTTCACTTTGTGCCTCCCACCAAATCCAGCTGTTCTGGAGCAGTTCACATAATGCTGAATTGCTGGCTGCTGCAGGGCAAGCTGTAAGGGGACAGAACCTGGTCCTCTCCATGGTCATAGATGTAAGAGGGGACCTTTTGGGGTGACAAAAAGCACAAAGCATTGGCTGCCATAGAATGTGAATGTCTCTTCCCAGTGGGATGTGGTGCTGGGTGGGTTAATTCCCATCTCATTTTTGAATCAAGCTTGCATTATACAGGAGTAGAGGCTTTGTTAACTCCAGCTTTCTGCTTTTCTTTGGACTCTTGAAGATGCTTGGCTTTTAAATGGGGATACAGCTGCTCTGGCTGGGGGGCTCATCGCAAGTTCCCTTAGCTCATGAAAAATCCAGGCAGGTTTTTTCCCTTGGACTACCCCAGGCTTTTCCCTTGGAAAGGGCAACACTCACTGGCAGAAGGCAGCCTTGAAAGCGTAAAAATCCGAGCAGGGCGGGTAGGAGTGGCTGTGGTTTAGCAGGAGCACGGTGTGTGGTTGCGGGGAGCCCCGCAGATGTGGCTGTGGGCCAGGGGGGCTGAGCTGCTCAGCCTTGGACAATTGGATGATGTGCAGAGCCTGGCACTTCCCTCCTGCCCTTAAGAACACAGGGCAGGAGGTGCTGGAGCTGCATTTTGGGTTTTCCCATCCTCTGCTGCAGCCACCCAAGGGCTGACCTCCAGCAGGACAAGGGATCTGGTGCGGTAAGGATGTTTCCAGCTCTGCCTCTGTGCTGGAGCCATCGGCCCCATTGCCCCCTATTTTCTCCAAACCCACTCGCCCACGGTGCTGCAGGAAGGTGGCCCCATCCTGCTGCCACCCCATAGCTATAGTGGGGGACATGGTGCTCCGGGGGCCAGGACTGGGACTGGGGGCTGTGGAGCCCATGAGATCTTGGGGACATTGTGGTCCCAACTGCTGGAGCCCTGTTAGTGCTGTAGGAACACCCCTGCCTTGTGCTGGGAGTTAGGAGTGGAGAGGCTGTACGGGAGGGCTGCCAGTCTGAGATTCAGGTGCTCCTGCCTTCATCCTCCTTTATGTTCTCCTGGGGCAGATGCAGGAGACAGACGCCGAGAAGCCGGGGCAGACGCACTTGGAGGACAGGAGGGCGGCTGCAGGCGATGCTCCTCCGGCCACAGAGGTGCCGGCTCCATCCGAGGCTCCAGCAGCTGCCCAGGGGTCTCTCCTGGCCAGAAAGCAGCCGGCGGCTGCTGAGAAGGGTGAAGAGCAGCCCAGCTCTGTGCCGGCCTTCGTCATCCCCGAGCTGCGCCTCGACAGCTCCTTCAGCGTGGTGGGCACAGCTGGTGGCACCACGGATGGTGAGGATGAGGAGGATGAAGATGAGGATGACGAAGAGGAGGACGATGAGGATGAAGAGGATGACAGCGATGAGAACTACCTGGAGCGGAGCGAGGCAAAGCGCAGCAGCATGATTGAGACATCAGGCTGCCAGCCTGCATACACGCTGAGCGTGCAGAGCTCCCTGCGGCGCCGCACACACAGCGAGGGCAGCCTGCTGCAGGAGGCCAAGGGGCACTGCTTCACCTCCGACACCACGCTCAACTGCTCAGACAGCCAAGGCAGCACGGGGCACTGGGCTCTGCCTTCCCCCAGGACTCTCAAGAAGGAGCTCACCAAGAATGGAGGCTCCATCCACCAGCTCAGCCTGCTCTTCTCGGGGCACAGGAAGGTATGTGGGTTGGTGCTGGCTCTGCTGCTTGGCCCTGGGATGGGTGATATCTCCAGGGTGGGGGTCTCCCTGTGTGTGGCTCTGCTCTCCATGACTCCATGGCTCAGTTGGTGTCTGACAGGCAAGGAGCATAAGGGCAGGTAGCAACAGGATGAGGGGAAATGGCTTAAAACTGGAAGAGGGTAGACTTAGACTAGATGTTAGGAAGAAATTTTTACTGTGAGGGTGGTGAGACACTGGAACAGGTTGCTCAGAGAGGTTGTGAATGCCCCCATCCTGGAGGTGCTCAAGGCCAGGCTGGATGGGGCTGTGAGCAACCTGGTCTAGAGGGTCCTTCCTACAGCAGGTGGGTTGGAAATTGATGATTTTAAAGGTCCCTTCCATCCAAACCATTCTGTGATTCTATGGGTGTCCCATCCGTAGCTCCAGGGGACACTTAGCACCCTGGGGATGCCACCAGGTGCTGGGGCAGCATCTTCCATGGTGTCAACAGATCCCATGGACTGCAGAGCTGCTGTCTGCTGAGATGCACAGAGGGAGAGGTGTTTGGATATGCAAACTGCAGCTGACAGCAGCAGGGATGGGAAGGAGCTGCGCTCCAGGGAGCCTCCCCTGACTGGGCATCCCTGCTGTGCTCAGGGACACTGGCAGCTGAGTGCACTGCTTGGCCTCCTACAGGGCTTTGGTCTTTGCAGAGAGCCCGTCCTAAATAGGCTGAGGAGAAACTGCGGTGCATCAGACACTGCAGAGCAGTGCTGGCACACACAAGAACATGCAGCTCTGCACGGAATTAGCCATGCTTTGGCATCACAAGTATTTATAGGAGTTGAGCTGCCATTGTGAAGATGGTGTGTGAGATGTGCTGCTGCCCCATTCCTGCTGTGGGACTGCCTGTATGCCTTCCCAGCACCCAGCTCTGCCTAACCTTGCGGGGCAGGGCTCTGCCTGGGGCTGCACTGCATGGCTTAGGGCTGCATGGCGCAGTTTGGGACCACAGTGCACTGCTTGGGACTGCACTGTGTGGCTTAAGACCACACTGCATGGCTCGGGACCTTGTTGCACAGGCTGAGATCTCGTTGCATGGCTTCGGACCATGTTGTGTGGCTCAGCACAATGTTGCAGAGCCTGGGGCCTTTTTGCATGGCTCATAACCATGCTGCTTGGCTCAGGACCACATCACACTGCTTGAGAGCACCTTGCAGTGCTTGGGACTGCATTGCATACTGCTCCACCTCTTGGCAGGGGATGCTGGTGCAGAGCTTTGTGTGCCACCAAGCATGACAGCACCATGGGTTAAAACCATGATGGGATTAACCCTCCCATGCCATTCTCCTGATACATCAAAAGCCACCTTGTTTGCCATTTCTTGGAGCACAATTTGCTCTTGGACCCCCTGGTCCCCTGCCTGCTCCTCCCCTGCCACCTCTCCCTGCTTCAACCACCATGCACATGGGGCTTTGTGTCACAGCCTACACTTGGGAGGGACTTTTAGAGCTCTGTGCATTTGGAGGGGCCCAGTGGAACCATCCATGCTTTCCAGATCCGGTGCTGATGTACAGTTCCCCTCTGCATCCCCCCAGGCCCGGCACTGCCTGCAGCACTACGGCACCCAGTGGCCTTGTCCACTGAGCACGATTATTTATGGGATCATCCCATTGTGCCCACGGTTCCCTGTGCCTCCCACTGCTCTCAATCTGGGCAGGTTGTTGTTTTACAGCCAGGAGTGCTGGGACTCGGCAATGGTTGCTTTTTGTCCCCAAGCTCAGCGGAGCCTCTCCAGACAATGGCAGGAAGCGTGGCCCGGCTGTGTGTCGCCCTGGCCAGCCCTATCTGTGGGGGGAAGGCATTTTGCAGGGGCTGCATTGTTTGGGGCTGATAAACTCCGGAAACCCGGGCGCAGAATGGAAGGAAGTGTCAGAAGCCTTGAGCCCGGGGCTGCTGGGCCATGCAGTGGGTTCCCACGGCACTGCCATGGATCGGCAATCCTGGAAAGCGCCCTGAGGAAGCAGTGTGGGGCTGGGCTGGCTGTGGGGTTGGCTATGAGCCCCCTTCCAGCTGTGCTCTGTGAGGTAGCAAAGCCCCCAAGCGAAGGTGGCCCAATGCCTGGCCATTGGGCTTCGTGGCTCAGAGGCTGTGCTGGTGACACCCTGACCCTGCAGCACCTCCGAGGTCCCCATGGCTGCCAAGGTCACCTGCCAAGGGTGGAGGTTGAGGATAGGAAGCCCTGTGTGCTCCCAGAAGCTGCCATGTTATGGTTCAGTTCTGCTCTGATTTTTCCTGCCTGGAGACTGCTGGGAGACCCCGAGAATATTCTGGGAGCCCCAGCCCCGAGCCTGCTCAGGACAGCAGAGATGGGAACATTGGGAAGGAGGATGTGAGTGTCCCTATAGGAGGCTCTGCTGTCAGCATCTTGAAGCCAAAGGGTCCCTAGGCCATCAGTTGTGGGATGTTCCCAGGACATGGGCAGGGGAGGGGGTCGGGGTTTCAGCCCCTGCTCTGCTGCAGAGGGACCTTTGGGGGAAGGAGCTGCTGCAAGGGGACCTCAGGAGATGCTGGTGGAGCTGCATGGTGGTGTGAGGGCATGCATGGCACTGTGATGCAAACACTGCTTTTCTCTTCCCCCCAGCTGAGTGGAGGCAACCCTGAATGCAGCTGTGATGAAGGGGATGAAACCTCCCGCAAGAAGAGGAGCAGGAGCCTGTAAGTGCTTTGATAATGCATGGGCAAAACACCGGGGCTGAGCCCATGGGGTACCGTACCCCATTCACCCAGAGTTTCCGGTGGTTGGGAGGTGGATGGGATGAGTGCTGGTGATGTTGCTCAGCGTGGCTGGGAATGTTCAGTGTGATATGATGGGTGGGATGCCACAGCCCTGACACTGCTTTAAGGGTTTGGGATGCCCCACAGCTGGTCCGGACAAGGACGGGGGAGCCACAGCCTTCACTTGCCCTGAGCACAGCTGCAGCTCAGTGGGGCCATGGGGTTTTGCAGGATTGCTGTGCCCTGGCATTGCCCCTTGCACGTGAGCGGGGGCAGATGAGTGCTGCACGTGGCTGCAGCACTGCTGTGTGTGCATCTCGATGGCAGCTCCCCGCGTGCAGCCTGCCTGTGAGCGGCACTGTTGCCCCGCGCGCTCTGCCGCAGCCGCCTATTTATAGCTCCTTTCATTCTCCAAACACTTGAAATGAAAATCAATTCCTCGCCATCTGCAGCGGGGACATCCCCCACGTGAGCCAGGGGAATTGGGGCGGTGGGGGGGGGATCTGTAGGGCGCGGGAGCGGCTGCGGGGAGGGTTTGTGCCGCTCACCTTGGGATGGCTGTGGGAGCGCGGTGCGTCGCAGCGGGCGCCGATTGGCTGCAAGGATGGCTGCCAGGTGGCCTGTGGGGTATTTATGGGGAGAGTGGCCGCGCTTCGGCACTGCCAGCTGCTCCCGATGCACCTCACCATGGTGGATTTTTCCGAGAAGTGCTTGGAAAGGTAGGGCAGGGCTCCCGTAGGGATGGCGATGCGCGCTGCAGGGGTGGCGTGGGGAGATGGGGCTGGACGAGGCCTTGCAGACGGCTGATGGGGGTGACTCCAGGTCGAACCCAGCAGTGCACTGTGGATTTTTGTGGCAGCGCCTTACTGGGTGCTGTGTGCACTCTGCAGCAGGAGCAGCCAGGCTGTGTGCTGCTTGCTGTTTATTCGCGAGTGTCTGTGTGAGGAGTGCTGAGAGCACAGCATCCCGCAGGTTTAAGCTTGGGAACTCCTCTGGGGTTTTGTTTCCTGCTGTGGGAAACGTGATGCTGCAGAGCTGTGAGTGCAGAGGGTGCACAAAGTGCAACCCACAGGTGCTGCTCCTTTGCACAGACGGATGGACACATGGACATACACACAGACACACAAACACAGGGACTTTTAAATACTTTTCACACCTTGCCAGGCTCCTAGCTGCAGTGGCTATGTTGCTAAAGTGGGAACGGTGCTGAAATTGTTGCTGGGAGCTGTGTGGGACGGCTAGAGCCTTGCTGATGGGATGCAGGTGGGGTTTGGAGCTCCTCGTTTAGATCTGTCGGTCCGGTGTCTGTGCTGTGTTGGTGCCTGGCAGCAGCTGGGGACAGCTGGGGACACCGCGAACCCCTCCGTGTCCCTCGTGTGCCCAACCAGCCCCGGCCGCAGCCACACGTAGGTCCTCCGAGCACCCTGCAATGTGGGACCTGCGGGAGGTGGCCGTGCCACCCCGCGTCCCCATCCATCCTCTGTGCACTCAGGAGCTGTGCCACGAGGGGTCAGCATCGCCCATCCCGTGCTCTCTCTGTCACCTCCCGCTGCCCGACGGGAGCCGGGCAGGACTGGGGCAATGCCGGTACCGCTGCCCAAACCGGTGCTGTGTTCCGACGGCAGCTTCCCGGGGCGACGGGAGCGCCGTGCGCGGACGCACATCTGTCTGTCCGTACGGGGACGGCAGCGTGGGGACGCGTAGGGGTTGGCACCGTGCGGTGCCGTGGCTGTGAGTTACCCAGTGCGTCCCACCCACCCCGCTGCGGAGATGTGCCCACGGCCGTGCCCACTCCAAACTGACACCGGACGCTGCCATCCCTGCGGCTCCCAGCCGTGCTGCCGGCCCCGCACAGGGCACGCAGCCCCGCACCGCCGCATTCCCCAACGCCCTATAAATAGCGCTCGTAAATCCCCGCCGCGATGACTTTCCCCGCCGTCCCTTGAAAGGCCCCATCTCCCCGCCCTCTCCCATGCTTTTTTCCACCTTTCCTCGAGTTTCCTCAGCAACGGCGGAGCCGTCCCGAGCAGCTCTGGGCTGACACACAGCCCTCCTCACCCACACCTCATCCACGCCACGCAGCTCCGTTCGGCCCTCCCACTTCCGCGCTGTCCCGGTGCGGAGCAGCAGAGCGCAGCGCCGGGCCGGGCGTGCCGGCTGTGCTGGAGCTGCCCCGATAAACGATGCCCTTTTTTCGTGACCTCTCCAAACCGCAGCCGTTGGAGTTTCACGCCGAGATGTTGCTGGGCGTGCAGCGGCCGCACAACGGCAGCCTGCAGCGCCGGCACACCATGAAGGAGTAGGTGATGGGCGATGAGCGGGACGGGGCTCCCCGTGGCACCGCGCACCTCTGGGTGCTGCTCCCCTCCCTGCCCGCCTCTAAACCTTGATCTTCTCCTCCAGAGCCAAGGATATGAAGAACCGGTTGGGGATTTTCCGGCGGAGGAACGAGTCTCCGGGAGCCAACCCCTCCGGCAAGCTGGACAAAGTGCTCAAGTCGCTCAAGTAGGTGCTGCGGGTGGGCGGTGTGGGGCTCCGGGGGGCACAGGGTTTGGGGACGAGCTCTGTCTAAATTCGGTGCCACCTCCCAGGATGCTGGGTCACCCAGCTGTGGAGGCTGTGGGCAGACAACTCACGGAGCCTGAGCTGTGTTAAATACTTTTTTTGGCTGAATGCTGCCCTGGGCTGCAGGGAGCTCCCTGCCCTGTGCCAGTGGCACAGCAGCACTTGGGACTGGAAATTTCCCTGCTTTCCCCCAGTGCTTCAACACGACACCTTCAGCTGGACAGAGGATGCTTTGGGAAACCGCTCAGCTCTGGAGGTGCTCCAGCAGCTGGGACGAGCGCTGCCCAGCCTGCGGCTTCATTGGGGCACCCGAAATCCCACAGCTCTGGGCACTGCCTGGGATTTTTCCAGTGCTGGCTCAGAGGCGGCAGCACGCATAGCCCTCCCTTACCTCATGTTTTCTTCCTGCCACCCTAAACGCAGAGCATTCATTCCAGCACAGCCAGCTCAGCACTGCGGGTGTCAGTGGTGGTGCAGCCACTGCAGGGTGCATAGTGATGCTGCTGCTGCTGGAAGCGTTCTTCCCCTGGGGGCAGCTGTGTGGTGGCAGGCAGCAGCTGTGGCTTTTGCAGCTTTGTTCTGCTAACAAATGCCCTTATCCTGCAGGCCTGCACCCGAGGAAGCTCTCAAGTGGGGGGAGTCCCTGGAGAAGCTGCTGCTGCACAAATGTGAGTGTTTGCCCCTCTGTTTTGCCTTTGCCACTGAGGAATGTCCAGGCGTGTGCATGGGGAGCACTGTGATTTCCTAAGCTCTGTTGTCTTGGGGAGAATGGAGATGGAGTGATGGAATGGAGCATCCCAGGCTGGATGTGGCTCTTGGCAGCCTGGTCTAGTGGTTGGTAACCCTTCCCATGGCAGGGGGGTTGGAACTGGATGATCTTTGAGGTCCTTTTCAACCCAGGCCATTCTGTGATTCTATGATACTTTCCCTGCACTCATTTTTCCTCTGCCAAGCTGGAGGGGGGGAGACTTTGCAACGCTCCCTTCCTTGCCCTGTTGTGCACCACAACTGTGCACAACATGTTGTCTGCATGTCCCCATAGGGTTCCCATCTCCATCACTGCTCCCAATCCATGCTGAGCTTCCCCTTGAGAGCCCAGATGGCTGAGAACTGGGCACTGAGCACACACATGGTTCATGTTCGTGCTGCCAGGCCGGGCATCGCCACCTGCACTGCTGCTGTTCATAGGGGATTTTTAGGGAGTAAGATGGCAGGGATTTGGGGTTTGATAGAGGCGTGTGTCTGTCCAGGAGTAGAGCTGTGTCTGTCCCCACAGATGGGCTCGCAGCCTTCAGGGCCTTCCTGCGCACCGAGTTCAGCGAGGAGAACCTGGAGTTCTGGCTGGCATGCGAGGAGTACAAAAAGATCAAATCCCAGTCCAAGATGGTCTCCAAGGCCAAGAAGATCTTTGCGGAGTACATCGCCATCCAGTCCTGCAAGGAGGTGAGGCCGGCTCCCGCTCGGAGCCAACTCTGTGCCCTGGGGCCCGTGGGGCCGCTCACTGCTCTCTCTGCCCACAGGTGAACCTGGATTCCTACACACGGGAGCACACCAAGGAGAACCTGCAGAACATCACCCGCGGCTGCTTCGACCTCGCGCAGAAGAGGATTTACGGGCTGATGGAGAAGGACTCGTACCCCCGCTTCCTCCGCTCTGACTTGTACTTGGACATCATCCACCAGAAGAAAGCCAGCTCCCCGCTGTAGGGCAGTGGGGCAGACTGGGAGCTGCGTGTTTACATGGAACCGGCGGTGGGGACCTCGCTGCGGCCGGCCGTGCCCCCCCAGGCGTGGGGCAGTGGGGGCACCGGTGCCAAGCAGGCTGGTACTGCTCCATCGCCCCGTCCTGCCATCGCTGGTACGACGCCGTCGGGGCGGATGTCAGCCAGGAGGGGAGCTCCCGCATGACTACTGTGAACCTGAGCTGCGAGCATCGCTGGATGGCGACGCTTGATCCCGACCCAGCGTGGAGGAGGAAGGCTTTTACGCAGGGCTCTGCTTTTCTCCAGGCAGCACTGATGTGGGCGCCATCCCTGGACAAAGGACTCCTGACCTGACCCGGCCCCGTGATGCTGCTGCGCATCCCTGCCCTGAAGCAGCCATCCCGCAGGAGCTTCTCGCTCCCCTCATTCCTGGTTTATTTATTGACCTCCTCTCGCTGGACGCATCGCTGTATTATAGGAAACCCTCGTTCCCAATTTACAAGTGCAATAGTTGTGTGTGTCGCGGCGGAGTTCTCCCGTGGAGTGGATGCCTTCTCTTTTACGAGTGCGTGCAACATTTTCTAAGTTTGCAGGTTTTATCTGACAAAGAAAAGGAAAAAAAAAACCCAACCAAACAAACCAAGAACGCATTCCCTAGCAGCGCTGGGGGAGCCTGGGTGTACATATCCTGCCCTGACGACGGAGGGCTTGCTGATGGAGATAAGCAGCTCTGGGAATCGGTGCTCTCCCTACTCTGGATCACAACACTGCGTTTGGAGACGCAGGGCTGTTGCTGAACGCGGCGGAGCCGGATGGACTGCATGCGTCCGGGCGCCCAGTTTACAGTGCGAAGCATCTCTGCAGCTAGCAAAAATACATTGTCATGGTCATAGGTAAATAAAAGGAGAATGTAATTTCTTGTAGCCTTTTCTTCATGGCATGTTTCTCCGTGCTGGTGGAGCTGGAGGAGTGTAAATATGACTAAAGATGGGAAAACCTGGTCCCACAAAGTGCTGAGCTGTCTTGCATGCTGCAGCAGCTGCCAGATGCTCCTAGGTTAAAGGCTGAGGCCAGAAACACAGAGAGTTTTGCCCAAAATGAGACTGTTCCCAGGGACAGCATTTGCTGTGTATACCCAGCGGGGCACGGGCCTGTGAATGAGGAAGTGCCCGGAGATGTGGGTGACCTCGTGTACCAGTGGGTCCCCATGGGACACATCAAAAGGAGCAGCAAAAAGCCCAGAGTTGCTGTGTCAGTCCTGGCTGCACTGCTTGGCTGGGTACAGCTGGGATCTGTAGGGAAAATGCTCTGTAGGGGCTGGTTCCTGTGCATTCAGTGGTTGAGATGTCTCGTGCCCATCCCTGGGGCTGCTTGTGGTCAGGTTGGTGGCTCAGTGTGCTTGTGGCATCACGGGGCCATGCAGTGCTGTTGGGTGGCTCACAAAGCCATCCATCTGTGTGGTGTGGGGGCTGCTGGCAGTGGGATGGGGATGGTGTGGCTGCCCCCTAACCCACAGGCACAGCTCCCCATGGCAGGTATAGTCCCTTCCCTGGCCACTGTTGCTGGAACTGCTGGTGCCTGATGGCTCAACACAGTGTCCTTGTGAGCACTGCCAGCCCCATCTGATGTAAGGGTGCCCCCTGGTCCCTGCTGCCCAGGGAGGTTGTCCTGGCTGGTTTAAGTCCCAGCACATGGCCCAGGATTTCTCCAGAGTCACAGGAACCACCCTGTGCCCATATCTCCCGTAGGGCAAAGATACCTCCAAGCTGGATCCTCCTCTTCCTCCCCATCCCAAAAGCCTTCGTATCCTCTTCTTCCTCCTGGGTTTCAGGGGTCTGCATGGGGCATTTTGTGGAACCATAAAGTGCCTTCTTGCTGCCAAGGATGCCATGAACCATGCACGTCCCTTCCTGTGGCTGGATGATGCCCAGGAGCATCCAGTGTCACAGCCCCGCTGGTTGAGTGCTGGATGTGAGCCCATCCCTCAAGGCAGGCAGCGAGGATTGGGGCAGCACTGGGACACATGGGGCAGGGACCAGGTGCCAAGGTTCACATCAGCACCTCCCAGCTGCCTCAGACAGTCACAGTGAGGACAGAGGTGACGTCATGCAGAAGATGGAGATGTGAGCACCTCGGATCACTCCCTGGTGAAGACAGAAATAGCCCTGCAATAGCAATAGAAGTTTGGTTATTGCTGTAACAGAATTTACTACCAGCGCGTCAGGTTGGTGTGAGTCACTCTGCAAACACTGTCCCCACGTGATTCAGAGATGCACTGATCTCTGGGAGAAGCTGGGCTGGGGTAGGAGGTGGAGATATCAGCTGTGTGTTCTCCTGGAACTGGCACTGCCCTTCGCTTGCCCATGGTGGAAGGATGCATCTCAGAAGACCCTATGGTGACACTGCAGCTTCAGCTCTGTCCTTGCTGTGCCATCACCCCGGGGCTTCATGCCCTGGTAATGAGGGGGTGGGAAACCTGGAGCAGCTGGCGGGGATGCGATGGGGGACGTCAGCTCATGGATGGGGCTGTTATGGAGGTCTTCTGGTTGGGGATGGCCATGGGGAGGAAAATCCTATTTCCAGTGCCCAACACACCACCAACTGTGGGTTCTGTGGACATCGCTGCTGTAGGCAAATTCCCAATTCCCAGTGGGAATCCCCCTCCACAAATGAGGGGATGCTGCAGTGGGCCTCATCTCAACAGATAGCAGGGATTTATCTTGGAGATAAAACCTGTGGTTGCTCAGTTGCTGGTAGTCACAACTCAGCTGTGTTTGTGGTGAAATCTACCCTCAGCGCCTTGGTGGAGTGGAGCTCATTGGACAAAGACAGCAACGAGGCAAAGGGCCACGGAGAAATGATTTCAATGGGAAAATGGGAGCAATTATCTTGTTGGGTCCGAAAAAATGTGCTGACTGCACGGGTAGAAGAGGTGATGATGGCTGATGAAAATGTCCTGAAGTCATGGGTTTATCACTACGGCTTCCCCACACCGTTAGGGTTGAGGAGGTTGGGGTGAACTGAAATCAGTCTTACCTATCATAGGTGGTGGGTCCTCACCCTTCAAACACCCAGTGTCTCATCAGCTGAGGCCTCCAGAGAAGTGTTGGGGTCACCTGTGATCTATGAAAGAAGTTCTGAAAATAGAAATTGAAAATATTTTAGGCTGATGAGTGTGTGGCAGATGGAGAGAAAGCAGCGAGCTGTGTGTCTGTCCAGCAGCACCAAAGGAGCAGCCCAGCACCTGGGAACGAGGAATGCTTTGTGCTGAGCAGTGCCAGGTTGCACGTGAGCCCTACTTCAGAGCTGCCCAAGGCTGGGAGAATGGAGCCCTTCTCTTTATTGCGCAGAATCAGTGAAGCATTTGCCTTCCTTACAGGTGTGCTGTGTCCCAGGATGCTCCAGCAGTGCTCAGCCTTTCTTGGGCTTCTCCAAGGCACCCATTCTGGAGCATGAACTTAATCAAATAAACATAGCTTTCTACTGAGCAGAATAATTCCTTGGACCCCTGATTAGACAAATATTCTCAGAATAGAAACAAGGCTACTTTACAGCCATAGACTAAACATAACTCAGCAGCTAGATACTGAATCTGCAGACACAAGAATTCCCCTGCCCCGGCAAAACAGCTGACCTTCTGTGCGAGCCACTGAGCTGTGCTCAGCAAGTGATGTAGGTGGGTGGAGATCACATCAAATTCCTCTTTCTTGGGTAGCTGATCTCCCTGGAAGGTGACTGGGGATCTGCTGTGGGGGCACCTGGTCTTTGATTGCCCACATAGCATCGGAGTCGGTCTGGGTTTGTCCTGGGATTTCTGCTTCTGCTGGGATGGGGAGCTTGCAGGGATGCATTGAAGTGGTTGTGTCCTTACCAGCTGTGACCCTGGGGGGCTCGGTGCTGTCCTTCGTGGGATTTCGTCCTGCCCAGAGGAGCAGCAAGCAGTGATGCCCCCAGGTGTGTGTCCTTGCCTTGGGGCTGGGAGGACAAATGCTGCTGAGCTCCAGGGCTGGCATTCGTGGTTTCACTCCTGCAGAAATCCAGGGCAGCAAAAAAAAAAAAAAAAAAAAGAAAATAACACACTTCTGAAGTAAAAATAACAACAGGCTCAGATGCTGTCTGTCAAGGAAGCAAAATAAGCCAGGCTGGGCTGCTGCCAGGACAGGAAATCCAGCGGCTGTGGGAGTCCCCTGGGTGCTGCTAACTCATACGGGAAGCATTGTTATAACCCTCTCTCTCATTGCTCATTCTCTGATTCTTTTCTGCATTAGGTCATTTTTACTCAGCCTGTCCAGCTCACACATTCCCTGCTGCTGGGGGAGGAAGGCCAACAACGTCGACTCTCAGCTCTCCTGGTGGTGCTGGGGAGGGCTAAAGGAAGGGTGAAGTCCACTTCTCTTTGTAGCTGAGCAGCCCTGTGGCATGGGGAGGATCTTCTTCACAGGGTGACTCACCACCAACATCCCTACCCCACTCCAGCCACCACTGAGCTACGCGTGGGGAAAGCTGGAGGTGACAAATGGAATCCCCAGCTTGCAAACATCCAGCCCCCCTCCCCCAGCCCCGAGCTTTCATCCTTTGGCAGAGGAAGAGGAAGGTGGGAGAGGGGGAAGAGCCAGGCAGGAGCAGGTGGGGACCAGGGATGGAGTTTATATGTGGGAACCATGTGTAAGTCATTTCTTGTCCCTTCCTGAACTAATAGGGTAATTATTTTAGAAGCATGCACGTGTTTCTAATGGAAAGTTTCACGTAGGCTGTGCGTCAGCCTATTGGTGCAGCAGCTCTGTTCTCCTTCATGCCTTGCAGCATTTCTAGACAAAGAAAAGTGGGTGAAACCTCCTTCAAGTGGCACCAGGCACGGTGGTGACCGGTCAGACAAACCTGGCCCAGCTCTGCAGCGGACGGGCGCACGCGGTGAAGCTGGTTGACAAAGCAGAACAAACACTTGTCTGCTCTTTGATGCAGCTCCAGTGCTTGTCCCCAGGTGTTTGGACTGGCGTGTCTGATTTTGCATCCTGCCAGCTCCAAGAAGGATGGGGAGAGGTGGAGAGTTCCTACTGAGATGAGCTTAGATCTGGGGCACGGGTCCTGTGTGGGCAGATAGAGAAGAGCTGGTCTAGTCTGGGGGCAAGGAGGCAACACTGATTTGGGAAGGATAATTACAGATGTGATGGAATTGAAGTCTTCTTGGTAGCACCAGGTGACAAAATAAGCGTCAACAGCCACAATGTGTAACAACTTTCAGGCCTTCAGGTTGGACATCAGGAAAAAATAGAGATCTCCAAAGGTACAGGAGTCTTTACTGCAGGATGTAGTGAAGACTTGGCCAGACAAATTCATGGCTGACCTGATGGGTGTTGATGGTTTTCCTGGTCTGAGGAGGGTTGGACTGGAGATAAACCCAGCACACCAAGGAGTCTGCCCCTCACTTTGCTGGTGGACATGGGCAGAGTCTTCCATGACATGTGATGGAGGTGCAGCAGGCCTACGTCCTCATGAGACCGAGCCAAGGGAAGATCTCCTTCCTTTTGCCCTTTAGCCAACTCTGAAGCTGTTTGGTTCTGGGTAAAATACAAGAACTGAGTGCTGAAAATTGGACTGCTGAGAGCCTGCATTGGGCTGTGGGTTATGACATGGAGCACAAGGTGATGTTTCTGCCTTATCCGTTGGCGGGGAGAGTCCATCTCCATAGGAGATGACTCAAAAATTTCTATCCTCACATTACCCTGTTTTCCAGTACTAATTTTCAAAATCATGTTTGGCCCCACCTGGCCTTAAGTTGTGCCAGGGGAGGTTTAGGTTGGATATTTGGAAAAATTTATTCTCAGAAAGAGTAATGAGGTATTGGCACAGGGCGTGCAGGAGTCACCATCCCTGAGGTGTTCAAGAAGAGGAGAGATGTGGCACTGAGGGACGTGGTCAGTGG